CTGGCTAATCATTTGATCACTTACCCTTTGCTGGGGGCTTACTCTTTGTTTTTGAGAGAGGATCCTATTTCACTGAATTCCACTCCTGAGCAGGGAACCAATCATGCACCAAGAAACTCGCACACGCTAAACATTTGTATGCATCCTTCTTCCCTTCTCCGTGCATACAGTTTATACTTCCCTTTTATTTTAGAAGATGCAAAAAATTAATAATACAACATTTTTCTTTATATCCGGATGCTTAGAAGAGACATGAGCCTCTTGGATAGGCCTGGGCAGGACACCCATGCCAAATTCATAGTTTATGAAGTCAAATCCAGCTTCTTTTACGGTTTTCTTTTACAAATATGGTTGTACTTCTCCCAAATGACGGCTCTTTGCAGTTTTATTTAGTGTAGAAGAATAAGAGACATTTCCCACTGCACGACTGCAAAATACTATGAGTGCGTGAAGAACATTGTTTATTTGCTTTTTAAAGTTGAAAACAAACTGGTGAATGTGCCTTGAAAATGGACGTAAGAGTCCAAAAGATCAGTATCTCAAGTAGGAATAAAGGGAGCACAGTGTGAGAGGGAACACACGTCTCTGGCTCCAAAAAAGAAATTTCACACAGCCTCCCTGGTGCCTGGCAGGACCAAACCCATGCCAAGATATACTGCAAAAACTGCCAGCCACCCTTAGAGGTCTCAGTGTGGAACAGGAGGAAGAGCTTCCATGGTCACGAGGCTGAACTGTGACACACATGAACGTAAAAATAAGATTTGTGCTTTTGTTTATTTGCTTGGGAAGTACTAACTTCCTCTGTCAGGTGGAAAATAATTTTAGCATTTTCTTGTCCAACTTTTAAAGAGCCTTTTATCACATAAGAAAACTACATTGATGGTTGGTCATAGAATATACGGAAGAATTTGCTAATGTCAGAAGTAATGGTCCTTTTACAGTCAGAGTTCACTCCCCTTACACTGATCTAATAGGAAAAAGCAGGGATGTGTCACCTGGCAAGACACAGCAAGTGACACTGCTCCCGCATGCCCAGCCTATCGCTTACATGTCTCTGATACAGACACAGGTTTCTTGCAGAACTAATGACACAGAATGACATAATTTGAAGCGTATGTAACAAGTCATGAACTACATGACCAACTTTAAGAATTTTAATAAGTCAGGACTAATTTTTAAGTCCTGACTTTGCATGTTTAATGTGACTTTAAAGTATGTTTCAGTAAGTGCTAAGCACTTGATGAAGAACTAAGCAGATCTGAACTGAACAGCCCTAGTCCCAGAAATGCCATAAAGCACTACTCAGCAGAAACCAAAACAATGTTTTTATTTAATTACTCAATAAGCTCACCACTGTCTTGAAAGCAGCAAGAAATCACATTCTTAAAATACAGAGCATTTTACCATGTTCTGAAAAGTTGACACTGGCTGCTTGACAGGAAAAAAAAGTTTTGTAAATGAGAGCGTATTATATTTTCATTATTACATTTTAACCTGTTACGACACTACCAGATGACTCAAATACACACGTATTATTCAGAATGTCCCTATTGTGCTATAATATTATTTGACACTGACCATATGCAGCCATATATGAAAAACTATTAGTTGCTAGAGAAAAGAGAAGTCAAGCCTATGTTTTTTAAAAGAGCTGCCAAAACATTTTTCCCTTTTGAGGTAGGCCAGTCTTAAATCAAGTACATGACTGGCTTCTTGGTTACAAGAGCAAAGGGCAGAGATTTTCCTTAATATCCTACCCAAAAAAATAACAGTTGCTGAAGTCCACAGCAACAGTGCAAGAGAACATATGTTTAGGCATGAATTAAAATAAAAAAGAATTCTTTCCTCGGAGACTGGCTAGCCAAAAATCCCTTTGAATAATTCTACTGGAGGGACTAAATTCAGTTCTTCTGCTTAGTTTTTCCTGATCTAGCACCTTAGCTCATCACATTAGCTTAACAAAAAGACGCCCTGCATTAGCAAGCAAATAGCTAATAGAATATCAAGCAAAACTTTGCAAAAGTGGAACCAAGCTGCCCTCCAGGCTTCACAGGGGCAAAGGCGAGGGGCAGGCAGGAAAAACAGGCCTTGTGGCTCCAACTATGCTGACTCTTCAACTTCTGCTTATAAAGCACAACAAGGGGGTGGTCTTGGCGTGTGGGGTATACCAGGTAAGAAAGAAAAAAATCCTCACAAATATATACGGATAATTGAAACAAATGAGAATATTTACACCTTTATTTTACCTCAGTAGAAGAATTCAGTCGATACAAACACAATTTTTTCCCAAAACATTGAAAAAATCTGATGCTAGGTGCTAAAAAAAAATACTAGAATACACATTGCAGATTCCTACACACTCTGTCTGAACTAGATCTTTCACAGTAATTTAAGTGACAAATCTATTTGGGCTTGTCTCTCTCTTTGGCGGTATGGAGGTAGATTAAATATAATTCTGTCCCAATCCAAGGAATGTGACAAAATGAAGAATGAAAGCATGAAGGATTTCAAAAATGAAAGCGAAACTAGGGAGTGGAATATTGGATTTTTGGCAAGTTTGTTTTTTTACTGTCAAAAAAACAGATGGAATAGAAAGATGGGAAGCACTTCGTGACCTCATCTCACTCCTAGTAGGCGATTCGAAATTGCAGAACCACCAGGAATAATGCCTGAATGCTACTGAAAGCCATCAACTATTTTGGCCCTCGCATTTTATGTCCTTAAGAGGCACGCTCATTTGTTTTCATTTTGTAAGCAATCCACCACACACAGCTTTAAGGACTCCCTCAATCATTTGATGTATTGGTTTTATATTTCCTCTTACCAGCAGCTTAAAAATCATCAGTAGTTGAGGTCTTTGTTTCACCCATGGAGACGGGAGTGTGTGAGAGAAGATGTAATGCTTGTTCCTATGTCACAACAATATAAATAGGCTGTCACCTTCTTGGCTATTTTTTACTTTATTAATAGACATTCATCCTGATGAATTTCCCTTGCTCTTCTTCCCCCTCCATTTTAAGTTTAGCTTTTAGCTGAA